TCTCTCTCTCTCTCTCTCTCTCTCTCTCTCACACACACACACACACACACACACACACACACACACACACACACATGCCTCTCATTCATAGTCTCTTGTTTCTCAGATCAAATTATCTAATTTGGAGCAATTCTGGGGCAGCCTCAAATCAGAGAATCAGTAGGAAAGATACAGCAAACAGAAAGAGGGGGAAGTCTACATGTCGTTTGCCTTGTGACATGCTGGTAATATTTGCCAATAGCCCTCCAAGAAAAAAAATATTTCCAACATTTGTTAATTTTGATAGTTTATACAATTCCTATCACAGTTTATTTTAAACTATAGGTGTATAATCACTTAACATGGAGTCAGGAAGAGATGGAAGTAACTTGAAGGATGCAGCCCCTCCTTACCTACTCACTTTTTCTCCACTTGGAACATCACCTCTTTTTCTATGGCAACCTCTAGCTTATGCCTCCAATATTACACCCCGACCATTTGCTACCTTGAACTACAAGAGCCAATGTAGTCTCTGTATCTCCACCTCTTGAGGGGGAGTCTCATTGCTCCAGTAATTTTTTATATACTATCTACCAAGAGTCAGTAGTTGGAGATGTGGTTCAATGCTGGAATTCTTGATTAGCACTTGCAAAACATTAGGTTCAATCTGCAGTAGAATAAAAAAAATTCCTGTATTACTGTCATCACACTCAATCATTTAGGAGGGACAGCCCCATCCTACCAGGGGAACAGTAGGCTGGATCTAAGGGTTGAAGCAGCAGTCAAGAAATGAGCAGTTAATACCAACCAAAGGTACTTTGGAACATTAAAAATAACAGGAGAAATCCCAATACTAGCAATATCTAAATAATCAGAGATATGCTACTACATGTTGGCCATCTCTAACCTATAAATACAAAAATCCAAAGTGTCCCCAAATCTGAAACTTTTTGCATATTAACACAAGACTACAAGTGAAAATTTCTATATGACATCATGTGACAGGACACAAAATGCAGGCACACCATATCTATCTTATGATGGAATGACCTTCAGTCTAAGTTTAGGTGTGCACAAACACAAATGCTGAGTTTTGTGTCTACACTGAGATCCCTTCTAATCATGTATTCAGAAAAAAAAATCCAAGCTCTAATCCACACCTGGTACCAAGCATTTTAGATGTGGAATGTTCAACATATATCTCTAAAACCACCCAAAAAGTTTTTTTAAAAGTACCTATTTTGCATACAGGGACATGTATGGAACAAAGCGATGGAATATCAAAACAAATGTGAACCAATTCAGAATATCATCTCTGCTTTTTAATTGTGAATCACTGGACAAATTGTCTTCTATGTAAAAAAAAAAAAGGGGGGGTGGCAATTAGAGAACTTTTCTGAGATGAAAGAATTTTTTTTTTGACTTTTTCAAGACAGGATTTCTCCATGTAGTTTTTGGTGCCTGTCCTGGACCTCGCTCTGTAGACCAGGCTGGCCTCGAACTCACAGAGATCCATCTGCCTGGCTCTGCCTCCTGAGTGCTGGGATTAAAGACGTGCACCACCACTGCCTGGCAAACGTTCATTTTTAATCTTGATGTTAGTCAATGCCAGAATGACCTGTGTATGGTTTCCAACAGCAAATTCTCAGGACAGAGGCAGTACAGAAACACCTAATAGAAGGGCAGATGGGAAGAGGGTGGAAGTAATAAACTAAAGCCTTCCCTATCCATCCTGAGCCCTAAATAGCCTGTCAGCTTCTAGTCTCTAACTTTGAAAGCAGTATCTGTTTTCACATTAGTTCCACCACCCTAGGTATTCAACATGGCCTTTTCCCTCTCTTCTCTACATGGAGAACTATTTCATATCCTTTGGGATTCTGATCACAGGTCATACATGGTGGTAGTAAAGCATATGGTTAATGTCTAGAAACTTTAAAGAATTGCCTAATATGTGAGAGGCACTATGCTGGATTTGAAAAACTACAAAAGCCATTTTACAAAATGCTTGCCTGCCAGTGTTCACTGTGTTGTAGCGAGATGGGGGGAGCTGTAAAAAAAAAAAAAAAAAAAAAGAGGAATCATTTCAAGAAAATGGTATAAACTCTTGGATAAAAGTGTGTCTGGAGAAAATCTCACTCCTTCTCCTCCAGATACACAGATAGACTCCGTTTTCTAGGCTCTCCCACAGCTAGATGTGTCACAAGACTAGGTCATGTCCTATGGAATGTTGGTAGAATTGACTTAGCCCATTTGAAGGCCTTTCAACAAACACCCATACAGTCCTTCACCACCAGCTGAGTGGAGAGAGTACCACAATTCTAGAGGAAGGGCAAGCTACAAGACAGAATGATCCTGTCATATCTGAGAGGACCAGAGGGCAATGAGAGTTTATAGACTCTTTTTACAGCACCTGGCATATACAGTAACTATGGAGACCCAAGAAGACCGTTCCTCAACTACACTTTTCAGATTACACAAGTGAGGACCAAATAAGATCAGCAGGGAATATAGTCCAGTAGTACTTTATTTTGCTCAGCACCATGCAAGGACCTGAGAAACAAAAGATAAAAAGAGGAGTGGAGGGAAGGAGGAGAGGGGGTGGAAGAGAGACAAAGATAAAATGGGGACAGAGGCAAGAAAGAAGACAGATACAAAAAACATTTTAAACATTGATCAGCAATGTAAAACCTTACTGTGAAATGCAAAGTGCTGGCAATCTTTTCAAGATACATATAGTATCTTAAAAATCTCGTAAGTGTACATGGGACTCCCATTGTTTTTTGATGACTTGGTTGTTGAGAAACTGTTTAAAATATCTGAGCATTACACTGATGTTTAAGTGAAATTTTATATGGACATGGTTGCAGGAGTCTTCTATCTAAACGCTCTTCTACAGTTGTCCTTTGTGTTCACATTTGGGTAAGTTATCAATTTAGCATGAACTAGATGAAACTCTCCCTCCAGTTTTTCCTACTGCCTGTTGCTACATAAAGTCCCACGGTTATAAAATATAATCACCACCAGGGTTTTATGGCCCTGGTTATAAATTAAGATTTGGGAAAAATCAAATTAATACCATTTCCAAAAGTCCCTACTATTTTAGAATCAAGTTCAGAGTTACCAGAAGAAACTGACTCCCTAGCTGCTGAACAATGACTACACAGTGTGGCAGACACGTTTTGGTGGAAATCAGCATGTGAATCTAAAATGTGCTCAGCAACTCAGTGCCATATAGAGAAAGAAGAGTACTTGGGTTTCATTTCCAAGTACATGTTGAGCAACCCCAATCAAGTAACCTGAAAACCAAAAGTCTTCAAAATCTACAACTTTTTAAGCAATAATTTTACACTATATACATAGAAAAGTCCAGACATAACCTCCTATGAAGAGTCTCAGTCAAAATATGTACATGCTACAAATATTGTATAAAATTATCAAAGTCTACATGCATATGTTATGCATGAAATATAATGAATTTTATATTTAGACTTGGATCCCATTCCCAAGTATATGACCACTTCTGGGCCCAAGTTCTTTGGATAAGGGATACTTAACACCTATTTTAGAGCTAGGAAATGTTTATAAAGTAGTTTTATAATATAGTGATTCTCCCATTTTCCCCAACCCCCAAAAAGAGAATCATAAAACTATCCTGGGATGCCTGTTTAAAATTCAGACTTCTAGGGCTAGAAAGATGGCTCAGTTGTTAAGAACATTAGGTGCTCTTGCAGAGGGCCCAAGTTCAGTTGCCAGTACCCATGTATCAGCTCACAACTGTCTATAAATCTAGTTCCATGGAGATCCAATGCCCGCCTCTGACCTCCACAGGTACCAGGCACCCACATGGTACACATTTATATATACATGCAGACAAAACACTCATAAAACAAAAATAAATCAGTCTTTTACAAAAATAAAATAGAATGTAGATTCCTGACCCCCTGTAGACCTACTATACCAGACTGTGAAGGAGGTGGGGTTTGGTATTTGTATTTTCAACAAGGGCCTAAGGAGATATAGCAAGTGTCATTTGCCCTGTATAGTAAGTACATTGAACTAAAAAGGCTTACCATCACATACACTTACCCACTGTCAAAGTCAATTTTCATCTAGCAAATTTCTAAAGGACACTACTTCTCTCTAAATGGTGAATTTATTGTTTTTTTTTTCTCTGTATGTTGTCAATGAACATAGATGATACCTTAAACAGCTGCAGCTCTTTGTAGAAATCTAGATGCTTCTATGGGGTTGAAGTAGACATTAGATACTATATTTTATTCCTAGGACCTCTGTAGGTACCTTTAAAAAGAAACTTAATACCTGACAACATGGACAGAACCTGACTAATAAAATATTTTTTTTGTTTTTTATTATAGCACAGCAATTAGTTTTAGTGAACTGTTTTTATAAACTTGTTTACCTTTCATTTTCTGTGTCAAATCTAAATGACTTAATGGACATAAACTTGAGCATTTTTAGGACTTTTTTTCATTGTAGTCCTACGCTAGCAAAGCTGCAAACCCTAAGCATGCTTTAAAATAAGTTGTTTTATCCATTCAATTTTCCTACAGTTCTCAAAGTAGTCTTGTCTTTTCAACACAGGTAATTTGGTCTGTTGCCAGAAAACTACTTGCTGACTAAAAAATAAACCAGAAAGAAAAAAAAATGCAGCAAAAGACAAAGAATGGACTGGGGGCGAAAGTGTTTATATAGAAATCTCAGGAAATAACTTCATTACTAACTAGTTCCCAAAACTAATAAACAATTTAGGTTCCCAGAGAAAACAGTATGGAGAAATACGAAATTCAGGTAAATAAGGAGCATAAAACATTGCACATTTGTTGTTGTCTCAGCAGACAATGATGGGGACCAATTTATCACAAAGGGCACTGTAATTTTCCCTATGACTGTTTTGCTGTAACTTTCTTTAAAAGCAATTTTCAAAGCACATGAAAAATGGGGGCCCTTCTAATTTATAGAGAAAACAAAAGCCACAGTAAAATGCACGTGAAAGTTCTTACTTCTTCCTCTCAGAGCCTAGTATCCTAAACAAATCTTTAAAGTATTGTGGGACGCGGACCACCACATTCTCCGAGGGGCCGATGTCTTTCAAGTGTGGGTAGAGTCTGGTATCAATGACCTTCTTGATATAGCCCAGCCAGTCAAACTGAGGATAGAGAAAACAAATGAAACCTATGTTAAGGTAGCAAGTAAGAGGAAAGGCATTCAAAGAGTAGGCTGAGCATAATCCATTCCATCCTAATCATTAAGGATCATCGTTTGCTTACCCAGAAAACAAAGTCAGATCATGGCCACTCAGACCTATGGCTTTCATCAAAAATAGAGCCTGTCTGTGTTCTGTACCACAAACTTCTGGAACAATAGACATTCGCTCAGCTGCTCCAGCGTCTCTTTGCCCTCCATCTTCTCTCTATTGTGTTCCCTCAGCCCCACCTCACTCCAAGACCTTCTCTTCTGTTAGCTTAGTTCACTCCTCTAATCCCCTGGGCTCCCTCCCTCAATACTCTCCCTCTAACTCTCATGTTCCCTTCTTCTTCCCCTAAACTCAGACACAGATGCCTTAGCACACTATTGGTCTTCTCCTCTGTGCAACCTCTCTTATTCCAAGAGGGAAAAAAGCCACAACAAAATAACTCACCTCCATTCTATAGAGCATCATTGCGTGTCTCTAAAACAAACACTGTGTTGGCTTCACTAAAGGTCATTTGCCAACTCTTTCCCCTTTGTCTGCCTCCACTAGTGAACTTGAAAACCAGTTACTCACATGCCTAGCACCCACTTCCCTACCTCTTACCCCACAGCAGGGATGGTCACATGACCAAATTCTACTCAGAATTAAAAGCAAGCCATCTAGGAATATTCTGAAAGGGGGCTTTTCTGTTTACCCTGGTAAAATAAAAAAGTCAGAAAAGACCGTGGGTCCTTCCCCTTCTCCTTGCCTTAATGTGAAAGAGCTACAATGGTCACTTTATAACCATGTTATCAAAATGAAGTAAAAAAGACTGAGGAGACTAAAATGTGGAGATAAAGCCTATACAATGTTAAACAGCTGAACCAACACTAACTAATGCCCATGGCTATGTTGCCTTACTGTTTTAAGCCACTATCAGAAAGCTCTCAGTATTCCCTACAACTGAAGAAATCCCACTGCACACACAAGGATATTTTATGTGATAGTTGAAAAGAAAGATAATCAAAATGATGAATAGTAAGATTCAAGATTTACAAGGCTAACTTTTATACACAGATGAAATTGAATCCCTTGTAAATACTAGGGAACAAATTTTTTGGAGAGTTTTCACCAACCTGGGGAATCATAGCACTCAGTTCTGAGATATTCATTTTGTTATACATAGCCTCACTGGTTCGGTTTTCATGTGGAATCATTATCTGTCAAAAAGAGATTTGGGTTATTTTTTTCAAATGAATCATTTATTATTGTATGACTGCTTTTCACATGTGCCAAAACATCTGTATATTATTATCAACTTTTCCAAGACTTTGGTGTGATGCCCAGCTGTGGGGAGAGAATTAAAAAAAAAAACCAGCATTTTAGACAGGATTAAGAAAATAAAAAGAAACTTAGATATCCTCTTCAGTGGGAAATATTGTCCCCAGTACAAAAAGAAGTTCCCAGACTGCCCTTCTCCTCTACCATGTGGATGGGCCAAGTCCATCACTGGATCAATTTTGACAACCAAGCTGAAGTTGCACAATTAAGATCAACATTCCATGTTTACCTGTCAATGAACTCAGTTCATTCACCTCTAGGGGACAATGGTCAATGACAGAAAGGAAGCTATCACTTTCCATATCACTGGTACCTGTGATCATTTTTTTGACCTTAGATTTCCCACTGCTAGACGTATGAATTTGGTCACCACCTAGGAAGAGATTTCACAAGCTTCTAGTCTCTGCCATATTTAATCTGAGAACTGCAACAATGACTCTTCCTCAAGAGTCATTTTAATCACTTCCATTGACCAACCATAGCTCCCTTACCCACATTATCACTTTGTGTTTCTATCTTTCTACTCCCTTACATCCATTAGCTGTGTCCACCTCACCTACAATTCTCCTACCCTCACACCTCCTGCCCATTATCACCATCTCCGTGGCTGGGACTGATTGAAGACTTTGCCTGAGGTTTATGTTCTCTAACAAGGCTTTGCAATTGAACTCCACTTTGCTCTAATCACCAGGACAACTTCATGGACAAGTCCTCTCTCTTCTCGTTCAGTCTCTCAGACAGAGATAGTGTAGATGCATATTTTGTAGCAATCTTTACTTATTTGGATTTGATGAGGCATTTTTCCTCCTTAGCCTCAGAAACTGTGTATCTTGGTAATTTTGGATGTGACAAGTCACCTGAAGACTAAGAGAATGAAAGGAACATTCCTACCGGGCAAAACTCCATGCACCACAGATATTTCAAGATAAAATCACAGAAGCTGAATAGCAGGCAACTGCCCCTCTCTTCTAAGTCCTTCAGAGTCTTAGTGTCTCCCTCCCCACTCTCCACTGGAGAGGTGACATGCCCCTTACAGTTGCCTTGCTGTTTGAGAACCCTAAATCATTGCCTCAGAGGATTTCTACATGTCTCTCCTACCCTCCTCCTTTCTCAACTCAGAGTCCAAGCTCCAGGTCGAAACCCTTTGGCCTCAAAGCTGTTTTCAGCTCTCTAGCAGCTGCTCCCCTCCACACAATGGACTTGTCACTTCATTTACCCTCTCAACAATTCTGTCTTGCCTCAGCCCAGCTGCTTTTAGATTTCTTTTTGGTCTAACTCCCTGGCTCAAGGCAAGGCCTTCCACACCTTCAGTTCAAATTAGTACTCTGGGCCTCCTATTTTCTTGGGAAGGGAATCCAAACAGCATGTAGACATGGCTTATAGGTACATCTGCAACAATCTTCACAACATTCAAGGGACACACAGTAATAAACTTTAAAGTGAAGTTGGGGTTCATTAAGAATGTCTTTTAATACAGTGAAGCAGAAAGACACAGAAAGAAAATCTTAAGGACAGTATTAGATGCCCTAGAGTAAACACAGGCTTGACTAAAGAGTTTTCAAAAATGAACCAGAAGGACACACATATGCCACAGTGCATGTATGTAAGTCAGAGGATAACTTTGGGCACTGGTCTTCATCTACTTGGTTTGAGGCAGGGTCTCTTTTTTATCTGCTATCGCACTGTGTATACCAGGCTAGCTGGTTCATGAGATTCCCAGAATTCTCTTGTTTTCACTTTCCATCTCAAAGGAGAAGCACTAAAATTATAGACAGTTACCACTAGCCCTGGCCTTGCATGGGTTTGGGGAACTCAAACTCTGCTTCCCATGCGTCTACAGTAAGTGCTTTACCTACTGAGTCATCAACTTAGCCCCTAGAAAGAAACTTCCTGCTATGAGTAGGAATATGGAGAAAGATATATGTGAACATCCTCACTGTAAAGGGAGACCTAATTCCTCAACCCTACCCTTCGCCCCGACTCCACATCTCAACATACCATCACCAGTTTACAAAACACAAAACCAATAAACACTCGGACCTCAGAATTTTTAGCAACTTCTATAATAAAAGATCACCAAGGTCTCCCACAAGCAAATGTTACCATATTTCTTCTCTCTGGACATGAGAACATTTAGGGATTTTGCACATTAGTTCTTCTAGAAAGCAGTCATTCTATAAACAAAGCCATTTAGGATTTACCATTCTCCAACAAATTAGTTCCCCTACCTCTTTTTGTCTCTACCATGAGCCAGAAAGAATTTAAGGTGATTTATTCAGAATATAATACATGACATAGTGACAACCAATCAATCATTAGAGCAATGAGAGAGAGAGAGAGAGAGAGAGAGAGAGAGAGAGAGAGAGAGAGAGAGAGAGAGAGAACAACATAAGGTCAGGCACCACTGGGCATGGTGGCACACACCTTTAATTTCAGCACTCCAGGAGGCAGAGGCAGGTAGATATCTCTGCATTCCAAGCTATCCTTGGAGTTCCAGGACAGCTGGAATTATACAGTAAGATTTTGTCTTGAAAAAGAAAAAAGAAAGGAATGTAAAAGTAAAGAATGGTAGACATAAAATAGTACCAGAAAGGCAGCTCTAAAGTTTAAAGTGTGCCCTATACAATTTCTGCATTAAATTTCATATCCAATATTGATAGATAAACTTCTCTGAGATCAAATTTTATCAGTCACACTGAGTAGGAATAATACAAAAAAAAATCAGGTCTGGTTAAAAATTACCTTCCAGGATTTGAGGTGACATACTTAGCATGTGTGAAACTCTGCATTCAACTCCCAGCAAGAGAGAGAGAGAGAGAGAGAGAGAGAGAGAGAGAGAGAGAGAGAGAGAGAGAGAGAGAGAGAGGAAAAAGAAGGAAGGAAGGAAGTCAGCCAGCCAACTTTCAATTAAATCAGTATTTATTGAATATCTGTCTTCTATTTGAGCCATATAAGGATTTCTATGAGAAAACAGGTTTCCTTGCTGGCATTCTTTAATCACAGTAGAGTAGCACATAGATATTGATTAGGCTCAAACTAGAGAAGTGGAAGGAATGCGGAGCTCTTAATTTCTGTAGTGATTCTTTTTACTTCCCAAAGAGGATGCAACTACTACCTTGGACCCAGAGGGCATTGACACAGAAGGTTACCCTTTGGCCACAATTTATATTTTCATTCAGCATGTATTTTTTTACAAAATAAGAAAAAGAAAAGGGCATGGCAAAAGAAAAGAAAAAGTTTGCAACTAAGACTTACCTCAGCTATCTTAATTTCCAATCTAAGCACTGACTTCATGTCATGTTCAGCTCGAGAGCTATTAGCTCCTAAAAGCACTGCAGTGTCCACCATGAACTTATAAAGGGCATCCCGATACTGTAAGAGATAAAGAAGCAAGTGGCCATGACAACAGCCTGCTAGGAAGTATGTTTTAGAGATACGGAAGAGCAGAAAAAATAGTTGGAAATAAGCTTTCTTCATTTTCACTCTGTACTCAGAGTATACCAGCATTATGCAATGCCAGCCACCTACCTGCCACTTTTAGAAGAAAAATACGAGTGATGAGTGTTCACAGGACTATTTCTGTGACAGATAGAGTTGCTCAGGCATCAAACATCAAGCAAAATAGTTTTCTGGTAACTGGTGATATTATGGATAAAAGAAACATCTCCAAATGAGTCCAGAATAGAAAGGTAAAGGTCAGGTGTCTCCTTCCCAGGCAAGTGATACTTCAATAAAGTAACGGGAAAGAACTGTGTCTAAAAGCAGAGGACCTGATCCATGAACACTAATGCGAAGTGTGATTTATTCCCATCCAGCTCCATTTACCCAGCTTCACACTAAGAAATAAAAGATGATTATAGTGATTGGAGTCCTGTGTCTTTTCAGTTTTAGTTTCCATAGAGTTGTCCTCCCTGGCTTGGGGGGAGAGAGAGAGAAATGATGATGAGAAACCTAGCAACTACTAAATACAAGATTTCATCTCTAAGGTACACCATGACCCTGAAAGCTATTCCGAACTGTGTGACTCACCTTAAGACCTATATATTTCTTGGTAGATAGCCAGCCTTTTAATAAATGAAATTCAGTCAGCAAGCCTGGCTAATAGTCTTAATTGGAAAGAATGTTTTGCCCCTCCCAAGTCTACTAAAAAGGTGTTCAAATAGTTCAATACATGTGTGAGGTGGCTGTACATATGATGAAGGAAGGCATATAAATGAAAAACTCAATAATGCTTGAGACTGCTTCTCAGTGTGTGCTCTGGTGATGAAGACAAACATGAAATAGCCGTAACATGAGGCAAGCAAAAATGTTTCTTAATAAAGCCACTACATGCATGAAAGCTGAAGAACTGGGAGATTGCAGCCCAGAAAATGTGGAGACATACCATTTGAGAGACATAGGGTTTGGGAACAGTAAGAGATAGGTCCTTCTCTTGAAGGAAGAACAAAAACAGGTAAATAGGGAGAGACAGGTTGAAAGCAGGCAATGAAGAGGCCTTGAGCTTCTTCAAAGTAATTTAGATGCTATCTTGAGAGAGAGATATACTCTTATATTTTTGGTTGTGAGCTTAGCCTTTAACATCTGGACCATCTCTCCAGCCCAGAATTTAGACTCTATGTTGAGAGCAAGATATACTGGAAATGGTGGTGTGGGAACAGAACTTGCCAAGTGGTGCTAAAGGGCTATTGAAGTGAAGGTGGTCACAATTAAATATGAATGGCTGTACTTAAGGCCAGAGTGGACAGCAATATGATCTAGGGCAGTAGGGATAGAAAGGAGGGACCAGGTGGTTGGAGGAAGAATTGCTTGTAAAGGTGGTGTCACTCAGACTTGGTTAACTACTTATAAGGAAAGGAGATGATTTCAAGTCTGGTTGCTGAGATCACAGCAGAAGCGAAGGTTCCCTAGTCTAGCAAATGTTGACTCAAGAAGAAAAATTTGGAAACCCCCTTTGATGAGTGTCCTCTGCCTGAAAGATGCCTAAGATCTTGGCTACTCTGCAGAGCCTTCCACATGTAGAGGCTATCAGCACAGACCCAGGAGACCTGGGTGTGAGGCTTGTTTGGAGGGGTAACAAAATTTCCAAAGTGAATTCAAGTTGTCAAAATGAACTAGTCCTATCCAATGTCCAGGAAACTACACTGTTTCCAAGCTAAGTCTAGAATTCTAACCTGATCCACCCTTTCTGTTTCTCATTACCCATCATTAACCCAGAGCACGAGCTAAAAATAGAGTCCCAGATCCCATCTTGTCTGCTAATTCAGAATCACCATGGCTTGATCCATATAAGAAGTTTCCAGGGTGATTTTTTTAAGCCAATACAGTTTTGAATATCCTTCAGTTTAGAAAATGATACTGAATGATTTGCTCTTCTGAGGATTGACTGCAAACTCATATCTTGGTTATTTCATTTGAATAATGGTATATCCTCATCTAGGTAATGAGGGCACCAAACAGGGAACTTATACAACCTTAATGTTCCTACCTCTACAAGACAGGAAGTAAAACTGTGTATTGAAAACCAGTGGTTCTCAACTCTCCTAATGTTGTGACCCTTTAATACAGTTCCTCATGCTGTGGTGACCCCAACCATAACATTATTTCCTTGCTAATTCATTACTATAATTTTGCTACTGTTATTAATTGTAATGTAAATATCTGCTATGCAAAATATCTGATTTGCAATCCCCAAGAGAGTCATGACCCACAAGGTGAGAACCACTGGCCAAAACAAAAGATCGCTGCTTACTACACTGGGAATGTGCTCAGTGAAATTATGATGATAATTTCCAGGAAAGAAGCAGATACCTTATAGAAACTGATGAACCAAACAGCAGCCAGACAAAACATGTAGTTGAACATAAATAAAACTTACAGATTTGGCCGGGCGGTGGTGGCGCACGCCTTTAATCCCAGCACTCGGGAGGCAGAGGCAGGCGGATCTTTGTGAGTTCGAGGCCAGCCTGGTCTCCAAAGCGAGTTCCAGGAAAGGCGCAAAGCTACACAGAGAAACCCTGTCTCGAAAAACCAAAAAAAAAAAAAAAAAAAAAAAAAAAAAAAAAAAAAAAAAAAAAAAAACTTACAGATTTGGCTTCAGTACTGTTATCAAGGAAGTCTTCCCTCACAGCCAGGGAGAGTGTTGCTTGGTCCAACTGTTCAAACAAAAGCAGAAAGAAAAACAAAAAACAAACAAAAAAAGAAAGCATGTTACTGACATTTTAAATTGTTGTGCACCATATTAACAAGAGTCACGGGCTCATTGGCAGCCCAGCCATATTTTGAGTTTGTGTCACCATCACAAAAATCACTTCACTCCATTCAGAACTACACACAAATAGGCACTTTGAGAGACCTAATGTATAAGAGATGTGCCCCCTACTTTTCTAATTTATGCTTTCTATCTTTGAGGTTTTGCCAACACTGAACAGTGAAAGGCTACTTGAGTTGGAATAGATGTTAGAGATTATCTGACAAAAGCCAGAGAATTTATGATTTTCCCAAGCTCACATGGCTGAACAGAGCTCATAGTAAAATCCCCTCCTGTTTCCAGATCCACTACCGACACCACTGTAGTGCTTTGCAAATGCTCATCTGTTTGGAGGTGATGCATTAGGCTTTCTACATCCCCACCTCAAAAATAATGTACCTTTTTACACAAAAAGAATCAACTGACATTTTGGAGAAATCTTTGTGACTTTCAGAAACTTCTCTGCAAAGTTAAGAATAAGTTATAGAAACACAAATAACTTTAATCTCAAGTATTTTATCCCCTTTTATACATAAAATCTATATAAAATTATAATTTTCCATGAAAATCCCTTTCATATGTAGCAAAGTCTATAAAAGGCCAAATTATAGTGGTGTTATAAAATTTAAGGAAATACTGTTGTTGGTGGTTTTTTTTAGTAATGCTTTCAAACCATCCCTGCACTTGTGTGTATTGCTAATTGGCCTAAAACAACCAAGTCACAAGCCATTCTGGCTTCATCCTCCTGTAATTCCCAATCTGCCATTGTTTCTTCCAAAAATGAAGTAAGCCAGAACCACAAAACAAAATATTTTGATTAAGATGCTTTGGCTTTCAATTAAATTTGGATCACTCAGCGACTCTTGTGAGCTCCAGTCTTAGAGGAAAGGAAACTATACAGATAATATCAAGAAGTCAAAGGTTCTTCTCATGAAATGAAATTAAACCCACAGAAGGTAAAAGTCTGGATAATTCAAGTGAGGTTACCAGACCTTTTATAAACTTTCAGATTGTTATGGTTTCTAGGGAACATTTTAAATACACCAACAGATTGAATAAGGTCAGTCAACTAAATCTTATTAGAAACACACAAACTCCTGAGGCAAAGTCTTTTTTGAGAAACTCACACAAGTACATGGTATTGTTCTAGCTTTTAAAGTCCTTGCATTTATGATATGAATGCTTCAATTTCAAAAGAAAAGAAAATGTTCATTCCAGCACTTGAGAGGTATGTGGACTGATAGTTCAGACCAGTCTGAGTTGCAGAGTGAGTTACAGGATAGTTCAGGCTACATTTAAAAAAAAAAACATATGGTTTTAGAAAACCAGATACATTGAATTGAAGATGTGATTTTTGTCCAATTATAATTGGCATGCCAATTACAACAAAGTGTTTTAGGGGAGAAAGCAATAATGCAAAAAGAAACATCTGAAAATTATGATCTAGGAATGGAAAAACAAAACATTAGAGAAACTTCATTTCTAAGAGAATTTCTCTGGTTGACATCATGAGTTTTGATTAGTGCTAGAAAAAATGCAGGCCATGGAATAGCAATGACTTGGAGTTGTCTTATACTAGGACAACGCTGACCTTCCAAACAGTCTTTTAAGGTCACACATGCCACTTTTCATTGTTCCTGAAATTCTTACTCTTCCTATCACCAGGCTTAAGACGAGCATGAGCACAGGTAGCAAGGTGATGTTTTAGAATATGCCTTTCTGTTATTTCTTACAATTTTATCTCCCATTGAAATCCACAGCAAATCTCTACCATCTTGCCACAGGGGAGCTTTTCCAAAGACCAATATGTGGGCCAATCTGCATATCTTGAGGATGGAGGCATATCTGCCCATTAAAAGGAGTGCATTTTTCTATACTCAGAGGCACCATATGCTCTACTAATAGTAAAGTGGGTACATGTTCAAGGTCAAAGTTTAAGCTGTTTCTTACACAACCAAATCACAGGTCAAACAGGCATGTCAACTACTCAAATTGAAGAGAGGCCCAGTCCCCTCCTCCTTTCACCCAGGCTGAGCAAAGTGTCCCAGTATAGGCCCCAGGCTCAAAAAGCCAGCTCATGCACTAAGGACAGGTCCGGGTCCCACTGCCAGGGGGCCTCCCAAACAGTTCAAGCTCATCAACTGTCTCACTTATCCAGAGGGCCTAGTCCAGTTCCATGGGGGCTCCTCAGCTATTGGTTCACAGTTCATGTGTTTCCACTAGTTTGGCTATTTGTCTCTGTGCTTTTTCCAATCATGGTCTCAACCTCTCTTGCTCATACAATCCCTCCTCTATTGTTCAAATGGTCCTGGCTAGTTGATGGGCCATGTTTCAAGAGAAAGAGCCTCTTGTCATATGCCACTGTGGACCAGTATCTACCATAGAAACTCACAAAATTCAAGTGATCTAAACCAAATAGCAACAATGTCAAGTAAATGATAATTTAATCTTCCTTATAAAATGAGACTTGAGAGACAAAATAATACACATAGTATAAAGAGTAACTCTCAAAGCTGAACTGAGAGCCTCAGTGTCCTCAACACCAGAGCCAACCCTTGTTACCACACTCCTGTTTTTCAAACTATGTCCCACAAAGTCTAAATGGATTCAGGACTCCAAGTGCACATTCATTTACATTTTGTATTTAACAATTAAAAAATTTACATGTAATTTATTAGTGTGTGTATACACATGCACCCATGTGTCATGTGTACATGTGGAAGTCAGAGGACAACTAGCATGTAGGTTCCAGGGACTGAATCCATCACATCGCCAGGCCTGTCGGAAAACGTTTTACCTGCTGAACCATTTCATGGCCCCCTAGAAACTGAAAACTAACAAAACAGCCAATGCATACACACAAGTTCTAGAACATTGGTAAGCCACCAATACACAACTTTTGTTGTCAGGTTCATTAGGTTTCATATAGAACTCAGAACAAAATTGTTCCTGCTATCTCTAGACACATGCTTAAAACTGTTTCATGACTATGAAAACTGCAGCTCTATGTTGTTCAGGGAGGAGGTTAATTCAGATGTGTGAACATTCACTCATGTAATTTGGTACAAACAGGATAGAATTAAAGCCAATGTGAGCTGCACTCAAATGCCAAGCAGTACTTGAACACTTCAGTTTGGAACAAGCTGCCATCTTGGCAAAAGAAAGCAATAACAAGTATACAAGTGCCTTCTTACATTTGGGAAGCATTCTATTATTGACAGTGTTTCTAGGACCAGTGTAACTGAATATTAAGTGTGCAAGGCAAGCTGTTATCATGGTCCTCTGTTTCCCTTATTTTTCTATAAACTGACATTAAAGGTAGACACTGAACTAGTTTTAAGGGGTTTGTTTCTTGTTTTATGGTTTTGGCGCAATGTCTTTGGTGATAGTGTGTTACTTCTGACTGGTATCAAGAGGCATACAATATCTAATTTTCCCATTTTTAGCAATGCTACTATTGATAGTTGAGTTCTAGACACATCATTCCATGAGTTTCCCAAACATTCACCTGGCCATTTTAGTAGCGATTGATGATAATTTCCTAAATCAATTGGCTCTTCAAAGATTTAAGTAGTAGTAATCTAACCCTTTTATTTATCCTGATTTATTTTTATTTTTAATTAGGTATATGTAGGATGGAGAGGTATCTGAGTGTTTAAGAGCACATAGTGTTTGCTCTTGCAGAAGACCTGAATTCAGTTCCCAGGATCCATGTCGGATGACTCAAAACCACCTACAACTCCAGCTCCAGGGAATCTCAGCCCTCTGGCCTCTAAGGGCATCTGCACTCACATCATCATCATCATCATCATCATCATCATCATCTCTCTCTTTCTTTCTGTCTCTCACACACATACACAACTAAAATAGAAAGGATAAATATTTTTTAACTATAACTATGTTTATGTAAGTGTGTATGTGTGTAAGCAGGCACCTGAGGGTGCAAATACCCACAGAAACCAAAGAAGGCATCTAAACCTGGAGTACAGGCAGTTATGAGCCACCTGACATTGGTGCTGAGAAACAAACTCAGGTCTTCTGCAAGAGAAGTATGTTCTCTTAAGTACTGAGCATCTCTTGAGTTCCTCTCCTGGATTTTCACGCTGTGCTTCTCCTATAAGCGAGAACTTTGTCTCATTGGCTATTTGTTTATCCTGAAATCAATCAAATCCAGATTGTGGAGAAAATACATAGGAGAAATAATCTGGTTTCTTTGGCAAATAAGTTTGGTTTAAAAAAAAAAAAAAGAAAAGGTGGTGCCTGTTAAAGATTAAATCAGACTTAGAAAGTGCACAGGTGATTGATTCTTAATTTTAGTCTCAATCAAAATGTAGCTGTTTCTGGTTAGGGTTTAAGGATACATTTGAGGGGCTGAAGGTATAGCTTGATGGTAGAACACTTGTTTGGCATGCATGAGGCCCTGGATTCTACCCTCACCAGTATAAAAAAAAGTGTTTAGTATAATTAGGAAAGTTGAAAACTAACTGTATTATTAGATGTTAAGTATGGAATTATGATTACATTTTGGTTGCGGTAAGAGTCTTTCACATTAGCTCAGGCAATGAAATATTTACAGTTAGAAGAAGATACATTTTAGACATGCTATAAAATGCTCCAGCCTCCAAAAAGGAGAGGTTTAAACTATGTAAAAATAGCACAAAGTTGAGGCTATTGAAGTTGGGTTCATAAACACATAGATGTTTATTGTCCATTTTTATTTTTATTTTAGTTGGTAGTTTTCTTCATGATAAAATATGAAAGAAATAGGTCAACTATTTGTCTAGCTCCAGAAATTGGGGAAAAATGAAATAGTTACCATTTGCAATGATACATCATTGTGTGAATCAAAATCATCTACCACTTCTCAGAGGGTGTAAATTACATTTGAATGACAATCTCTTTCTTACTTTAAAACACCATCGAAAGTATTTGGAAGAATATCATAATAGTTCTGTAATTGAGAATAATAGTCTTAAAATCTGGCTTTAAAAAATTGAGTGCTCTATCCACATAGAACAGGGGCTGATTGGACTGCAACCGTCATTGTGTCTCACATAATAGCATTACAAGATGGCTCAATACCATGTCGCTACTTCATCATCCAACACAGACACACAGCTGTCTCTGGAACTAAAACTTTCCTTCTGCATGAGAATTCTTTCAACAACCAAAGATTTTTTTTTGACACCTATCACTGTCTACACTTAGAGGTCAGGAATCTACAGCCTTCAGGCCAACTCGTCACATGGTTATACCCATTCATCATCTAAACCTGCTTTCTCAGGTACAATGCCAAAGCTCAATAGTTGAAATAGAGACCAGATGGTTGGCAAAACCTCAAATCTGTACCATCTGTCCCTTTATAGAAAACACATTGCCCACCTCTTACTTAACTCCAAAAAAAAACTCCATGGTTTTGATTTTTGGAGAGGTGGCTTATGTTGGATGAGGAAACACACTACATAGTTTTATAGTCCTATAGTTTTTATATTGATATATCCTTAATATGTTCTGCTTTGATGAAGGGCAGATTAGGGCAGAAATCAATGTTCAATAGCTTCATTATTATTCTTCTATGGAAGAAGAAGAAAACACAGGAAGGTGAATGCATGAAATGACTTGGGATATGTTATTTGAATTCCTACAACCTCCTTCATTGATGACTCTTTTGTGGTCTGTATCTTTCTGACAACCTCCTAATTTCACCAATGCGATCCACCTCGGGGCACATCCAACTGCTCCCTGCCTTTATGCTCATTCTCCCAGCAGAAAATGTGCTTAGAATAAATTCTGCTTTACCTTTTGAAAGGGAGGAGGACAGATTCAGATTGAACTTGACAATGGGGATGTAGGCGTGCACTCAAGTTGCTCCTGAAAGGGGAACAAGGAATCTGGCATGTGTTGTCCCTTCTGTCAGAGGAACGAGGAGGTGAGGCAAAGAGCAGAGTTCAGAAAGTATTCTATCATCACAGAAGACCCAGAGACCTCTCCCAGATAGAATTTACATGCTCAGAGAAGCCATCTAAGAGTGAGAGCATGGATCACCTGAAAGCCACTCACGGGGTTCCTGAAAGGCTGACAGTTTGCTGCTAATCTACATTCGGCAAATCTTGGAGCAGGGCATAATTCCAGATCCTAAAGCTCAGCTGAATTTTTACCTCATCATTTCATTAAGCCAGCATGAATTTCTTTCTTTAGGAAAGCACCCACACTGGGGATTTGAGCCCAGTTGGCAGAGTGGTTTCCTAGCATTCACAAGGTGGAGTCTCCAGCACTGCATAAAGATGGGATGGTAATACATACCTGCAATCTCAGCACTCAGGAGGTAGAGGCAGGGGGCAGGAGTTCAAAGTCATCCTGGGTCAAAGTCAAAGCAAGTTTGAGGCCAGCCTAGGATACTTGAGGCTCTGTATATAAAAAGAAAAGAAAAAGACACCCTAAAGGGCTAATCTTAAAATGAATAAACAGCCCTGGCTATACCTTCAAGATATGTTCATTAGACGCCTTGTCATCAGGAGACACATACAAACGGATGAACACAGAATTGCTGTATTGACCACGGAATGTTGCAAGCGTTTGCAGTAGACTGAATTTTCTCTCTGACCAAACCCCTTCAGGACCAATATTAGCTTCAAGCACAGGCCAGCGGAAAGGTGAATGCCGCAAGATGTGGAGCAGTGGCTTGGCGTCTGCTTTTTCAATTGCTTCTGAAAGGAAATGGATACAAAGGGCAAGTTAGAATTGTAAACTAGAAGCCAGGTGTGATGGTCCATGCCTCTAAGTCCTGAACTTGGGAAGAAGAGGCAGGAGGATCAGAAATTCTAAGTCACCCTCAACTCAATGCAGTAAGTTCTCAAAGCCAATCTGGGCTCCATGATACCTTGACACAAAACAATGAAAATGAATTGCAAAGTAGATCACCAAGCTAGCATGCAAATTTATCTTCTCAAGAGAAAATTCCCATAAAGCCCTCCACTTGAATCTTCACCTGTTAAAGAGAGGGTAAGAGAAGTAGAATGAGTTGTGAATAACTATATGAGCAAAACTAACTATTACACTCTTTAGTGAACTTGCTGGATGTTCTCTATAATGAAGATGGGCTTACTGCATAGACCCGAGCCAATGAATGAAATTAAGCCAGTGGTACTTATTACTGGCACTAAGGAATAACCCTAAATTAACAATATGGTTCAGTTAAGACAAGGATGCCCCCAGTGAACAGGTATTTCTAGCATATCCCCCAAATCCTAAATCAACTAACACACTTTCTGGAAACACTTGCTTCAACTCTGGAATGGCCTTGATCACCTTGAGGCCTTTGTCTCCCAATAAGAATGCTAGTTAGGAGCCTGACATGCCTGGAAATCTAAATGTCACTAGATTTCAGTAGTTTCTATGGAACGTAATTCTCCTAAGTATATGCCCTCTCAGGCTTTTTCCTGAGCCAGAATGGCCTGGATATGGATTCCGATTTTTATACTAGATACAATGGTTTTCCCTGCTGTCTTATTCAAATTTCTTATATAGGAACTGATACCCAAATAATCCCGTCACAGAAATAAGATTATTTTCTTGGGGCTGAAAAAATAGTTCAGTTGTTAAGAGCATATGCTGTTCTTGCAGAAGACATGAGTTCAGTTCTCCACACTCATGTTGGGCAGTACACAACAGCATGAAACTCCAGCTACAACCTTACCTGACCTCCACCTGTACTCATGCACTCATGTGCACATATCCATACACATATACACATAATTATAAACATAAAATAATAAAAGCAAAATGTCTTTAAAAGATTTTTTTCCACTACAGCAGCCACAGATTGACTAAGAAAGACTCATCAAAATCCAGTCTTTGAGAATTTTTTTATTGCCTAAATAACACCTTTAATCATTAATAGAATTTCAGTTCTCTCTTCCTTAAAAATACCTTTAACCACTAATAGAATTCTGAAGTATAAGGATCATAAATATTTATTTTCTTTATTACTCACTCTCATTCATGCAGGATGAATAAAGGATTTTGGCTTTCTGTACAGCTTCAGTGTCCCGCCTTCGACTGACTGATTTCTCCAGAAGTGCTAGGAAGGTGAAAATAGGATTCATTAGTATCCTCCCACACAGGATGTCAAATTGAAGGTCAGCCTCCAGAAAATTAAATGCAAAGACAGACAACTCTGGAAAATACAAGGTATGCAAACAGCAGGGGTGATTCCAAGCTGCTTGAGATCCAAATAAAAACAATTAAACATTATTTTATCCACGGTTCTCCTAACTCAAAAGAAACCAACTTCTGTCTGAGGCTAGGCTTTCTGCAGGGGTTAATTTCTTCTGCCACCTCCACAAAAGGAAGCAGTCTTCATTTATTAAAGAACCGAAACTCATTCAGTCTGCTGTTTCTGTACCAAGCAATATTCTCAATGGAGGTCATTTCATCTGGATCAAGTTCCTTATGATTTTCTTCATAACTCGGCCTCTCAGGGAGGTCACCCGGAAAAAAATTTCCCATTACAAGTTTTATTCGGTGTTGCATAAACATGCCATGTACATGAAAAAAAAGTTGTTGCAACAGGAAATAAAGAATTGAGGTTGGAAAGCCTACTCAAATTGTCTGAAAGCATGCCTATTCATACATGCAAAGTCCTGGATATGTAAGTGAGGCCATTTACAAAAACTGTTTGCCCGACCTTCTTGGAAACTTATTTTCTATTTATAAAATCATTAATAAGATTGTTTGAAGGTAAAAAAAAATGGTTGTCACTCTTCTTTCAAATAAGGACTCAGGGAAAACAAACTTCTTCTAAGGGAGGGAGAGAGAGGAGGAAGGGAGGAGTTTGAATTAACTTGAGAGCATCAATTGACCATCATGAAGCCATGTTGACAGATCCCTATGGTGACCGTAGTCACTTTGGCACTGCCTATTTCCACTATGCAAAACTGCTGCTGACAGGGAACACACTCGACAGCCTCCAAAATCAGTGGAAAAGCTGTTCCTATATCTCTCTGAAGAGTTTCAAGGCACAATGCACAATACTAACCAATTTGATCAAAAATCACACATTCCCAGAAGACCTGACTTCTAAACTACAAGTTCCACATTTCAAAAGCTGCAATCTAAAGATCTTGTCTAGGTTTCTGTTTTGCTTTGTTTTGTTTAAGATTTGTTTCATCTTTTTTCCATGTGTCTATGTGTGTCTTTGTGTGTATGTATGTACTTGTTTACAAGTGCCAACAAAAGCCAAAAGAGGGTGCTAGATCCCCTGGAGCTAGTGTTATAGGCAGTTGTGAGCAGCCCAATGTGAATGCTGGAAACTGAGCTTGGGTCCTCTGCAAGAGCACCAAGCATTCTTCACTGCTGAACAGTCAGTCTCTCCAGGCGTACCTGGCATTTGTTTTTATGAACACCTGTACATAAACCAAGCCCATGACACCAGACAGATTATAGCAAACTAAACTCTGGTTGAATGTGAATATTTTCAATTACTTGTTTGGGACATCTTGTGTATCATTACAGCAAGAAAAGTTGGATAACTTGCTCCAGAAATAAAGGTTCATTTTTGTGTTTTTTCCTTTTTCAACAAACAAGGTTCTCAAACCACATCCATACATACTTCCACTCAAGCCATCTCACATGTCTTTCTGCCACATTGCTTATGCAGGTTATAGTCATTAGACTACTGGAAAGACACATTCAGCAGTAAATAATCCAAATTCCATTTAGGGTTCTGTCTTAGCGTTTTCACTGCTATGAAGAGATACCATGACCATTGCAACTCTTATAAAGAAGACTTTAATTGGGGTGGCTTGATTACAGTTTCAGAAGTTCAGTCCTATCATCATGATGGGGAGCATGGCAGCATGCAGGCAGACTTGGTGCTAGAGGAATAGCTGAAGAGTCCTACATCTTGTAGGCAACAGGAAGTAGACTAAACACTGGGCTGGGTGATATCTTGAGCATAGGCAACCTCAAAGCCTGCCCCCACGGTGATACATTTTTTTCCAACAAGGCCACACCTCCTAATAGTGCCACTCCCTTTGGGGGCCACTTTCTTTCAAAATGCCGCAGGTTCTGATGATGTTCCAGTGTTGTAATCATGCTGCACACTACAAACATGAGGGCCTGAAGGATCAAGAAATAAGCCACAGGAGCAAAAAGAAGCACTGGTCTCTAATATTTACTGGTGCGTGTTTCCAATGCATACTGTAGATCACAGGAAGAAGAGGACACACATAGGTTGAACAGATCAATGCTAAAATCCTAACCATGCACAAATATAAGTAATTTACATTGGATAAAATTCTGGTTTCTGTACGAGAATTTGCATTTTCAAACAGATTTAGCTAATGGCAGGTTCTTTGTCACATCCTTTCTCTTCTGCTCTCCCCTTTCTCTCTGTATCAAAGCAGGCAGAAAAGCATTGCTATGCAGATAGTGATGTGGCAATCAGCTCCCAGCACCATTTTCTTTATCTCTGCATGTGAATTAGTAAGAAGAGGAATAATATCAAGTCTGGAGAGTCATTAATAAGCAGAAAATAATACCTGCCTATCACAAGCAATTATTCGAGTTATTAAAATGTCTGCAAAATGTGGAAAGGGCTCAGAGGTCACCCATGCAGGACTTTCCCAGCATGGCCAGTGTTGTTTAGTGGAGGATTTTCAATCCTTCCTCTTCTTTCTTACAGAAAAAGAAAATGCCAATTCATAAAATCTTATAACAGTCTACCTCAAACTTCAAAATTGGCTAGAGAAATTGTTTTCTTCAAAGTATCTTAAAACTGCATATAGTAAGCTGGGTGATGGTGGTGGCACAGGCATTTAATCCCAGCACTCAGGAGGCAGAGGCAGGTGGATCTCTGTGAGTTTGAGGCCAGCCTGGTCTACAGAGTGAGTTTCAGAACAGCCAGAGCTACATAGTGAGACCTTATCTCAAAAAAACAAAACAAAACTTCATATAGTAGTAGTCTTCTCCTCACTAAGCTCAAATAAAACTGGTTTTCAAAAATAAGGCAGCTATAGCCAGGCGGTGGTGGCGCACGCCTTTAATCCCAGCACTCGGGAGGCAGAGCCAGGCGGATCTCTGTGAGTTCGAGGCCAGCCTGGGCTACCAAGTGAGTTCCAGGAAAAGGCGCAAAGCTACACAGAGAAACCTTGTCTCGAAAAAAAAAAAAATAAGGCAGCTAAGTATGGTAGCTCAGACTTGTCACCCAGCCCTAGGGAGGCTAAGGCAGGAGGATTCCTATGAGTTTCAAGTCAGTTCGGAGTAAATAGTGAGATGTGCCCCAGAAAAAGAAAAAAGAAAGAAAGAAAACCATATCAGGATGGTGGGCTTCCAAATCATACAGACAGGAGCTACAGTTACAGTTCCTCCTAGCTACAAATGGAAGCAAGTTATCTAATCTCTCTCCAAGTTTTGTTTTTTTTCGTCTGCAAATTTGGGTGATAACTATACACCCCAGGGTTTGATGATGATTTTCAAACTGTAATGCACTGAGAATTTCTAGCTAAGAGCCTAGGCACATGATAACGTCAGTGGTGGCTAGGCTGTGGATGTGGCTCAGTTGGTAGGACACTTGCCTAGCATGGAAGAAGTCCTAGGACTGATACCAGCACTGAATAAATTGGGCATGGTGGCGCATGCCTGTTATTCCAGCACGCAGGAGGAAGATGGAAACTTCAAGGTCATCCACAGGTACATAGCAAACAATCTGAGATACATGAGGGCCTAGCTCTCAAAAAAAAGCAAAACAAACAAACAAAAAAGTGATAGCTTATTCGCGATGACAGACCAAGTCGACCATATACAAAATTGGATCATTATCAACCTTCCTAGTGCTTCCTCAATAACTGTTCCTACTTTTCTCCTCCTGTTTCAGGTGTGGGTGGCTATCAAGACATTCCCTCTCTATGCATTGGATTCTTGCTCGAAGGATCACTGCTCTAGCCACTTTGCAGAGCTCTGCAGGTCTATACATTTCCTCTGCTTCCATAGCATAGGAAATGCTAGATGATGAGACCTGTCTTGTAGTCAGTAGTAATCTCAAAGCTGCTTTGCTTATGTTCTTCATCCTGGACAGCAAGGCATTTTTTCTAAATACAAACATTTTCAATCAAATTATAATATGTATTCAACAGAAAAATGTCCAGATCATAATCTGAAAGAATTCTACAAAGTAAACACACAAAAGTAAGCAAAACTGCTACCAAAATCCCAGAAGCCCTATGGTCCCTCCTTCTTATCACTTCCCCCAACCAGGATTATCCTTTTGGGTTTGATATTTTTGTTTGGTTTTGTGGCCTTTCACTGAACCAAAGACCTTGTGTATGCTGAGCAAACACTCTACTATTGAGCCTTACTTCCAAGTCCAATGCTTACTCAAATCTGTTTCAGACACTTGCATAATTTAACTTTTTCTTTTGATTTATAGAAGATTCCCATATAGTCTCCACATCTCCTTTTTGAAGACTACAAAATCTTCTCCCATTCTGTAGTTCTTATTTTCTTACTGGTATCTTGTGATGAACTGAAATTCTGAATTTTAATGTAGTTACATTTGTCCATTTCTCCTTTTATGATTAATACTATTTGTTATTTAAAAATATCTACCCCCAATTCATGACAATGGCCTACACTTTTATCTAGAATCTTCATTGCTTCCTATTTGTACCTACAGCCCATTTATAATTTCTTTTTGTCCATGGTGTGGACAATCAAGATTGACCTTACCAGGGATGAGTCATGAAAAGGGTTTAATAAGTAAGATATATTGGTCATTTCATCTCAAATGATATTATCAAATACATTTTGGCATGAAAAAAATGGCATTGGCACTCTCAGTATGGAACTAGCTTAGCTCTTTCCCACTGACCTGCTCAGCCTTTCCTTCTAGCCCATTGCTGTTCCTTTGGGTCAGCTGCCTATCCCCAGAAACACCTTTTACTAGGGATCCCCAGTATTCACACCGGGCTGTAACACAGGCTATTCTCACTCTTTCCTACCACCCCTTATACGTTTATCTCCAGAGCTAATCTTAGTCCTACAGCAGCCTGCTTGCAAAAGCCCTGCCTCCCATCACACCTC